GGCGAGTCGCGCGTTCAGCTATTATGATCGGTTGTTTTATATCACTGGCCTCAAAACTATACAAGAAGACATCGTACGCGATTAAATGACTCTGTTGGTACCTTTAAAAGTGTATTATTCATTGAGAAAAACGCAAAAAAAGAATTTGTTTAAATTTGTCAACATTTTATAACAAATTGACAAAGGTTAATTTGGCTAAAATTACAAGGTGAATATAAACTCTTTCAAAATCAATGTATTGTTTTTTATGCTGTGTAGCAGTTACTGACAAAATGAATCCTACGACCTATAATGTGACCTTGAGTTGACCTTGACACTTTAGGAACTTGGGAATTTGGACATTTAGAAATTTAGAGATTTGAAAATTTGGCAATTTGAAAATTCGAAACTTGAAAATAAAAGGTAACTTGAGTGCACATATATGTATAAATTTTTCGATTACTACGCGTTAATTGTCAATATTTTATTTGATTTTTGACTTAAAGATCAATTGAAGGTCGTCTTATTTGTCGTAGAATTTGTTGTTTCATCAGCTGCACTGAAAAACAGGTGTATTAACCTTAAAAATACTGAGGAACTTCTTGTTATTTCAGTACAGACTTTACCAATCACCAAGATTCAATAAAATAGTAATAGAAGTTTTAATCGTAGTTAAAATAACAGCTGTGCTAGAGATAATGTAGTTTATATTTTGAGATTGGAACCCTTAAAATATCTCACAAAATCCTAAAATTTTTGGAACAGTATAATGACATTCATATTTGGCTTCAAAAAAAGTAAGAACCATTGGACGATTGGAAACTTTGGACAAACTAGAAAGACGTGCAACTACCATTGATATTGCTTGTAAATATGGGCTCAATGCAAAAACTTTAAAACGGTACCGGAAAAATGCGGACTCTATTTGGCAATTGGCGACCAACGCAAGACACCTTGGTATGAGTAGATAACGGGTACCGATATATGCAAATTACATGTAAATAGAAACTAAATCATATACTTGGACCAGTGAAAAAAGATGAGTGGGACAATTAACTGCTAATATTTTTTTAGACAAAGCAAAAGAAATTGTTGCACAATGTGGCAGCATATCGACGTTTAAAGGTAGCCGAAGTTGATTGTGGAATTGGTAAAAGAAATACAATGAACACCTCGTACAGGAAAACACTCGATTCCAATGAAACAGCTGCAAACAATTTTATATATGAACTTTCACGATTATTAATAGACAAAGATGATAATGTGTATAACATAGATGGAACCAGACTGTTTTGGAGATGTCTGCCGCCAAATTTTTTAAGCAAAAGAAAAAAAACACGTCAAAGTGAATACAGGAAAAGAAAAACAAGTGACTTTAGTCATATGTGCGAATGCCAGCGACATATATAAGTCGATATTTATAAGTACAAACTATTGAAACAGCACGGGGACACGTTAACCGCGAAATACATAATAAAAGTCAGTCTAATGATTGGTTAAATGAGCATATATTTCGAAAATGGTACAATAATGGTTTTAAAAAAATAGTTAGCTGCAGCTGCAACAGTATCGTGCGGGGACAATTGTGTTGATCATTGATAACTTAAAAGCGCATAAACTTAAAGAACATGAAATGGACGATGGATATTTTAAATTAATATCTTTATCTACTAATGCATATGCGTTAATGCAACTAATGGGTCAAGGTATAATTGCTAAACTGAGGATATTTTTTGGCATAAATTGCTTATGGGGGTATGTTATACACGTAATAATAGTACGTAATATACTTTATTTGGTTTGACTTTCCAAAATATTCATTCTTCACGGGTAATCGAATGTAATGAACGGGTTAATAAATTTAACGCTAATTATAATATCGAAGATTGTATTCAACTGATTAACGAAACATGTAATACTATTAACAATTTTCAAGAAGTATTTTCAAGTAATAGTATTATAATAAATAATAACACATGCATTGAAAAAACTGCAGAATATTTGGATGAAATGTCTGATGACGAAGTAACGAACTGGATTTCCAAATGTAGCAGAATTAATTCCCGAAGAAATGTTGAATAAGGAAGAGGTTGAGAAAGAAAATATTTCGCTTCCTCCCTCAATGGAAAACGGGGGAGATAATCGTTTATTTTATATTTTTTAAAAATTAATTAAAACCAATCCAGACACAAAAAATCACATGAAAATAATAGTAAATGATAATAATATTAAAAAATAAGCGCAATACTTTTTACACCGGCTTTACTACTTTTTTTACAGCCTGTTCAATAGCTACTTTCTTAAACATTTGATAACATGATGGATAATAAAACAAATGATGTCGTGGATAATTGTCAGTTAACTATTCTTCCAATGAATTATATGCAATTAGTCTGTTACATACTGTTAAGAAAATATAAAATATGTGGTGTGACACAAAAGTAACGAGACTAGTCTAATAAATCATTGTACCTACAGAATCAGTTCTCCGTGACATTATCACCTTCAAAGTAGTCACCTTCAGCATTC